TTTGTAATCATTTGGGTATATACCCAGTAATGGGATTGCTGGGTCAAATGGAATTTCTAGTTCTGGATCCTTGAGGAATCACCACACTGTCTTCCACAATAATTGAACTAGTTTACACTCCCACCAACAGTGTAAAAGCATTCCTATTTCTCTACATCCTCTCCAGCATCTGTTGTCTCCAGATTTTTTAATGATCACCATTCTAAATGGTGTGAGATGGTATCTCAGTGTGGTTTTGGTTTGCATTTCCCTAACAACCAGTGATGTTGACATTTTTTTCATATGCTTGTTGGCCACACAAATGTCTTCTTTTGAAAAGTGTCTGTTCATACCCTTTGTCCACTTTTTGATGGGGTTGTTTGTTTTTTTCTTGTAACTTTGTTTTAATTCTTTGCAGGTTCTGGATATTAGCCCTTTGTCAGATGAGTGGCTTGCAAAAAATTTTTCCCATTCTGTTGGCTGCCAGTTCACTCTAATGATTGTTTCTTTTGCTGTGCAGAAGCTCTGGAGTTTAATTAGATCCCATTTGTCTATTTTGGCTTTTGTTGCCATTGCTTTTGGTGTTTAAGTCATGAAGTCCTTGCCCATGCCTATGTCCTGAATGGTACTGCCTTGGTTTTCTTCTAGGGTTTTTATGGTGTTAGGTCTTATGTTTCAATCTTTAATCCATCTTGAGTTAATTTTTGTATAAGGTGTAAGGAAGGGGTCCAGTTTCAGCTTTCTGCATATGGCTAACCAGTTTTTCTAACACCATTTATTAAACAGGGAATCCTTTCTCCATTGCTTGTTTTTGTCAGGTTTGTCAAAGATCAGATGGTTGTAGATGTGTGACGTTACTTCCGAGGCCACTGTTCTGTTCCACTGGACTATATCTCTGCTTTGGTACCGTGTAAGTACCAGTACCATGCTGTTTTGATTACTGTAGCCTTGTAGTATAGTTTGAAGTCAGATCATGTGATGCCTCCAGATTTGTTCTTTTTCCTTAGGATTGTCTTGGCTATGTGGGCTCATTTTTGGTTTCATATGAAGTTTAAGGTGGTTTTTTTCCAGTTCTGTGAAGAAGGTCAATGGTAGCTTGACGGGGATAGCATTGAATCTATAAATTACTTTGGGCAGTATGGCCATTTTTACGATATTGATTCTTCCTATCCATGAGCATGGGATGTTTTTCCATCTGTTTGTGTCCTCTCTTATTTCTTTGAGCAGTGGTTTGTTGTTTTCCTTGAAGAGGTTCTTCACATCCCTTGTTAGTTGTATTCCTAGGTATTTTATTCTCTTTGTAGCAATTGTGAATGGGAGTTTGCTCATAATTTGGCTCTCTGTCTGTTATTGGTGTATAGGAATGCTTGTGATCTTTGCACATTGATTTTGTATCCTGAGACTTTGCTGAAGTTGCTTATCACCTTAAGGAGATTTGGGGCTGAGATGATGGGGTCTTCTAAATATACAATCATGTCATCTGCAGAGACAATTTGACTTCCTCTTTTCCTAATTAAATATCCTTTATTTCTTTTTCTTGCCTGATTGCTTTGGCTAGAACTTCCAACACTATGTTGAATAGGAGTGGTGAGAGAGGGCACCCTTGTCTGGTGCTAGTTTTCAAAGGGAATGCTTCCAGTGTTTGCCCATTCAGTATGATATTGGCTGTGGGTTTGTCATAAATAGCTTTTATTATTTTGACATACATTCCATCAATACCTAGTTTATTGAGAGTTTTTAGCATAAAGCGCTGTTGAATTTTGTTGAAGGCCTTCTTTACATCTGTTGAGATAATCATGTGGTTTTTGTCTTTGGTTCTGTTCATGTGATGAATTACATTTAGATTTGTATATGTTGAACCAGGCTTGCATCCCTGGGATGAAGCCTACTTGATCATGATGGATAAATTTTTGATGTGCTGCTGCATTCAGTTTGCCAGTATTTTATTGAAGATTTTTGCATCAATGTTCATCATGGATATTGGCCTGAAATTTTCTTTTTTAGTTGTGTCTCTGTCAGGTTTTGGTATCGGGATGATGTTGGGATCATAAAATGAGTTCGGGAGGATTCCTTCTTTTGTATTGTTTGGAAAAGTTTCAGAAGGAATGGTATTAGCTCCTCTTTGTATGTCAGGTAGAATTCAGCTCTGAACCCACCTGGACCTGGACCTGGACTTTTTTTGGTTGCTAGGCTATTAATTGCTACCTCAACTTTAGACCTTGTTATTGGTCTATTCAGGGATTCAACTTCTTCCTGGTTTAGTCTTAGGAGGATGTAAGTGTCCAGAATTTATCCATTTCTTCTTCATTTACTGGTTTATGTGCATAGAGTTGTTTGTAGTAATCTCTGATGGTAGTTTGTATTTATGTGGAATTGGTGGTGATATCCCCTTTATCATTTTTTATTGCATCTATTTGATTCTTCTCTCTTTTCTTTTTTATTAATCTGGCTAGCAGTCTAACTATTTTGTTGATCTTTTCAAAAAACCAGCTCCTGGATTCATTAATTTTTTTGAAGGGTTTTTGTGCCTCTATCTCCTTCAGTTCTGCTCTGATCTCAGTTATTTCTTGTCGTCTGCTAGCTTTTGAATTTTTTTGATCTTGCTCCTCTAGCTCTTTTAATTGTGACAATAGGGTGTCAATTTTAGATCTTTCCTCACTTCTCATGTGGACATTTACTGCTATAAATTTCCCTCTAGACACTGCTTTAAATGTGTCCCTGAGATTCTGGTATGTTGTGTCTTCATTCTCATTGGTTTCAAAGAACATCTTTATTTCTGCCTTCATTTCGTTATTTATCCAGTAGTCATTCAGGAGCAGGTTGCTCAGTTTCCATGTAGTTGTGTGGTTTTGAGTGAGTTTCTTTATCCTGAGTTCTAACCTGATTGCACTGTGGTCTAAAAGACTGGTTGTCATGATTTCCGTTCTTTTGCATTTGCTGAGGAGTGATTTACTTCGAATTATGTGGTCAATTTTACAGTAAGTGCAATATGGTGCTGAGAAGAATGTATAGTCTGTGGATTTGGGGTGCAGAGTTCTGTAGATGTCTATTAGGTCTGCTTTGTCCAGATCTGAGTTCAGCTCCTGGATAGCCTTATTAATTTTCTGTCCCCTTGATCTGTCTAATATTGACAATGGTGTGTTAAAGTTTCCCAGTATTGTTGTGTGGGAGTCTAAGTCTCTTTGTAGGTCATTAAGAACTTTCTTTATATATCTGGGTGCTCCTGTATTGCGTGCATATGTACTTAGGATAGTTAGCTCTTCTTGTTTCATTGGTCCCTTTACAATTATGTAATGCCCTTCTTTGTCTCTTTTGATCTTTGTTAGTTTGAAGTCTGTTGTATCAGAGATAAGGATTGCAACCTCTGCTTTTTTTTTTTCTCTCCATTTGCTTGGTAAATCTTCCTCCATCCCTTTATTTTGAGTCTATATGTGTCTTTGCACATGAGATGGGTCTCCTGAATACAGCACACCAATAGGTCTTGACTCTTTATCCAATTTTCCAGTCTGTGTCTTTTGATTGGGGCATTTTACCCATTTACATTTAAAGTTAATATTGTTATGTGTAAATTTGATCCTGCCATTTTGATACTAGCTAGTTGCTTTGCCCATTAGTTGATGCAGTTTCTTCATTTGTTGATGGTCTTTACCATTTGGTATGTTTTTGCAGTGGCTGGTACTGGTTGTTCCTTTCCATGTTTAGTGCTTCCTTCAGGAGCTCTTGTAAGGCAAGCCTGGTGGTAACAAAATCTCTCAGCAATTGCTTGTCTGTAAAGGAGTTTATTTCTCCTTGACTTAGGAAGCTTAGTTTGGCTGGATATTAAATTATGGTTTGAAAGTTCTTTTCTTTATGGATGTTGAATATTGGCCCCCACTCTCTTCCGGCTTGTAGGGTTTCTGCCGAGAGATCCACTGTGAGTCTAATGGGCTTCCATTTGTGGGTAACCTGACCTTTCTCTCAGGCTGCCTTTAGCATTTTTTCCTTCATCTCAGCCCTGGTGAATCTGATGATTATGTGCCTTGGGGTTGCTCTTCTTGAGGAATATCTTTGTGATGGTCTCTGTATTTCCTGGATTTGAATGTTGGCCTGCATTGCTAGGTTGGGGAAGTTCTCCTGGATAATATCCGGAAGAGTATTTTCCAGCTTGGGTTCATTCTCGCCATCACATTCAGGTACACTGATCAAACGTAGATTAGGTATTTTCATATAATCCCATATTTCTTGAAGGCTTTGTTCATTTCTTTTCACTCTGTTTTCTTTAATCTTGCCTTCTCATTTTATTTTATTGAGTTCATCTTCAATCTCTGATATCCTTTCTTCTGCTTGATCAATTCAGCTATTGAAACTTATGTATGCCTTGCTAAGTTCTCGTGCTGTGTTTTTCAGCTCCATCAGGTCATTTATGTCCCTCTCTAAGCTGTTTATTCTAGTTAGAATTTTGTCTAACTTTTTTTAAAGGTTCTTAGTTTCTTTGCATTGTATTAGAACATGTTACTTTAGCTCAGAGAAGTTTGTGATTACCCACCTTCTGAAGCCTGCTTCTGTCAGTTCATCAAACTCATTCTACATCCAGTTTTGTTCCCTTGCTGGTGAGGAGTTGTGATCCCTTGGAGGAGGAGTGGTGCTCTGGTTTTTGGTGATTTCAGTCTTTTTGCACTGGTCTCATCCCATCATCTTCATGGATTTATCTACCTTTGGTCTTTGAAGCTGGTGTCTTTCAGATGGGGTCCCTGAAAGTGGACGTCCTTTCTGTTGATGTTGAAGCTATTTCTTTCTGTTTTTCAGTTTTCCTTCTAATCTTCGGCCCTCTGCTGCAGGACTGCTGGAGGTCCACTCCAGACCCTGCTTGCTTGGAAATCCCCCATGGGGGCTGCAGATCAGCAAGGATTGCTGCCTGTTTCTTCCTCTGGTAGCTTCGTTCCAGAAGGGTACCCACCAGATGTCATCCAAAGCTCTCCTGTATGAGGTATCTCTTTTGATATATGGGGGTCAGGGAACCACTTGAGGAGGCAGTATGTCCCTTATCAGAGCTCAAGTGCTCTGCTGGGAGCTCTGTTGCTCCCTTTAGGACTGCTGGGCAGGGACATTTAAGTCTACTGCAGCGGAACTCACAATCACTCTTTTTCCCAGGTGCTCTGTCCTGGGAAGGTGGGGCTTTATTTATAAGTCCCTGATGGGCTGTTGTCTTTTTTCAGAGATGCCCTGCCCAGCAAGGAGGGAGTCTAGTCACAGTCTGCCTGCAGAGGCCTTGCTGAGCTGCCACAGGCTTCATCAGCTGCTGTGTAAACTTCCTTGAGATTTTATTTACACAGTCAAGGTTTACACTATTTACACTGCCTCCGTAATGGCAGACGCCCCTCCCGCCATCAAGCTCCACCCTCCCAGGTTGAACTCAAACTGCTGTGCTGGCTACAAAAGTATCAAGCTAGTGGGTTTCAGTTTGCTGATCTTTGTGGGGGTGGGACCCACTGACCAGATCACTCGGCTCACTGCCTTCAGCCCCCTTCTTTTCAGGGAAATGGGAGGTTCTTTTTCGCAGGCATTCCAGGCACCAGCTAAAACGGCCGCCCAGTTTTGCGCTGGAAACCCGCAGCGCTGGCTAAAACAGCTGCCCAGCTTTGTGCTGAAAACCCAGGCACTGGTGTTGTCGGCCCCGTCAGGAACTCCTGGTCTGTGGGCGTAAAGACCATGGGAAAAGTGCAGTATCTGAGCCAGAGTGCTGGAGTGTCTGGAAAAGCCCCTAATGGCTTCCCTTGGATAGGAGGTGGGAATCCTGATGCCCCTTGCACTTCCTGGGTGAGGCAACACCCCACCCTACCTCGGTTTGCCTTCCTTGGGCTACGCTCACTCTCCAACCAGTCCCACTGAGATGAACCTGGTACCTCGATTGGAAATGTGGAGATCACTCGCCTTCTACATCACGCTCACTGGGAACTGCACTCCGGAGTTGTTCCTCTTCGGCCATCATGTCTTTTTTTTCTTTGAAACAGGGCCTTGCTCTACCAGTCTGGAGTGCAATGGTGTGATCATGGTTCACTGCAGCCTCAACCTCACAGACTCAAACAATCCTCCCACCTCAGCTTCCTGCGTAGCTGGGACTACAGTTGCACACCACCATGCCTAGCTACACCCACTTTATCTTATATATTACATCTTCTTCCACTAGATTATTTGCTCCATAAGGACAGGAATATTTTCATGTGTTTTGATCATCAAAACAAATATTGAAATATTAGAAACTACAATAGTGCTTTCACATAAAAAAGAAAGCAAATAGTATAGCCTAATTGTACAGCTAAGATCTGAGTCTTTTGAAATCAATGCTGTTTTGGCCTTGACTTCCAATTAAACTCAGTGATCAGGTAGAATGGATTTCCAAGTTCTAAGGCTAATTTTTGGCGGAGAGGCAGCCATGAACAGTTTCTACTCATGTCACTTTCTAGCCGAACAGTTTCCAATAGCTTCCCATTGCCTCCACTGCCTTAAGTAGCCAAGTTTATACTTCCCTCATCCACACCTTTCTTAGGTGGTCTCCTGCATCAGCAATACACATGTCTTCTCCAGCCAAACTGCTTTATCCACTGTTTTCCCGAATAGCGTAGAGTTTCTCTTTCTCCATATTCTTTCTCATTCCTTTCTTTCTTCCGAAATATCCTCCTCTATTTCTTCTATTCCTCTATCCAAGTTCACACCTTTTTTAAAGACATGCTTTCTTCACCACTTGCTGAAATTTAACGTATTCCTTCAACTTACATGGCACCTCTTTCATAACGTCTTCCTTGAATTTATTAAATGAAACACTCCCTATCATGTAACTTCGTGGTATTTTGCTTTTACCTTTATTCCATCCCATTTCACAGTACAGTCATGCAGTAGTCCACAGCAGAGATTCTGGAGCCTAAGTTGTATGACTTTGCCCAAGTAATGTAGCCTCTCTGTGCTTCCGTTTCTTCCTCTGTAAAATGAGATTATTAATAGTTCCTACCATACAGGATTTTATAACGATTAAGTGTATCAACATGTAAAACACTTAGAATAGCTTCTCTCCTCTGAGTGTTTATTGCTGATGCTGCTACTGCTGTTAGCAATTCTTCATTTTAAGTCCACTTGACTTTGTTGGGTGAAACATCACAGCGGGCTTCTTCCACCTGCTTAATACATACACTTTAATCTTATTAAATAATGAGTGTGTCATTTCCTCTTTCTCAATTTGGAGGTTCAGGTAAATTAAATCCAAGTAAGGAATTCTTGACACTATAAATAATTGTATCGATTTTTTTCTGAATACGCAAGTGTTACACTGAATTGCACTGCAGAAATGAATTGAATTGAATTCCCATGTATTGAATTTAACTTAATCACACATGCTGTGAGGAACAGAAAGATGAAGACAAGGCCCTGGCCTCATAGAACTACTATCTCTATTCAGCAAGATGAACATATACACAAGTAACTTTCCAATATCCACTATATGCTACATATCATATGGTTCTTTTACTTATATCTTAAGGTTTCAGTTTGTCTCAGTCTTCCAATACCTTTTTGTTATGTTGAACCCAGGGTGCATTAGTTCAATTGAACCAGTTTCTTGTTTTAATGTGGGAACACAAGCCATTAGTTGTAGTCTATTATTGTCTACTTAATGAAATTGTTTTTGAAACCGTGCCCATTAACATTTAACCTTGAGGCCCATGCATAGTTTCCGTATTTATTACATGATTAACTCACTTACTAGAGGTATTTATGAGTTCTTGGCTCAGCCTGAGCCTGCCAGGCCTGGTTGAGAGACAGGGATGGTACCAGAATGACCTCCCCAGCCTTTGGCTGAGACACATCTGTCATTGCCCCCACATGTCCTGCCTTCCTGGTCATCCCCGCATGCTTTTCTTCTACCTCCACTTCACTCTCTTCTCCAGGAGGTACAATTGCATCTGGTCCTCATTGTGGTGATAATTTCACTTTGCAGTTATTTTGATAAATGTTTAATCAGGTGTGCAGGCAAAAAGATGAAAAGTGAAGGGTGGATGTTTCTAAATATTTATTCAGAAAACAAATTCAGCAATATTCCATCTAGCCTCTTCCCCAGGGGCACTGGCATCGACAATTTCTTAGCAGCAGCCTAGGACCCTCAGTCCTTGAAGGTGAGTCCTGGAACTACAGCCTAATACCCATGAAATTGATTTTTCACGCCTAATAGTGTCCTCACCCTGCACGCTGGATAAACAGGCGCTGACGTGGTTTCTATGCCAAGCTTGTTTTCCTTTAGAAACATGATCCTTAAAGTAACTTCAGAAAACAGAAGGTCAACTCTAAAGACAAAAAAAAAAGAAGCCATGGTTATGTAAAAAAGCCTTTCAGTAAACTAAGATGCTATTCACAGAAGTTGTAAAATAATCTTTTACTAGTTCATCACTTTAAGTATTTAGAATAATAGGACTTATGAGGAAAGCCTATGAGCATCTAAGGGTAGTGCCTGGGGTCATTTTTCTGAAGGTGATTAAGATAAAACAAAGTGCTCTTCATAGTATGATATTGGCCACTTTGAAATATAAAACTCTTGAGTATTTAACTCTTAAAAGGGACAAAGAAATGTCAGATGATAACATGCTAAATGTTATGGCAATGGTTCATTTCCTAGCAAACCCATAAGGCTGGCCAAGAGAGAATGGCTTTCACTTTGGAAATACCCTCAATACCTAAGTTTCACCTTCTAGATATCTTTGAAATCCAAGGTCAGGGATTATGAACGAGCTTTAAATGCACTCAGTGTCCTTGGACCAGGGCTAACAACGATGAAGACAAGACCCCACCTTGTTTAAGAATCTGACCTGAAGAAGCTGGATGGAAGACTATAGGAAACACTAAAATTCATCTTGAATAGTTTGGAAACTACTTTTCCCACTGCAGCTGTAACCACGCTATGACCAAAAGAGTTTTGATGGACAGAGCCCTACCCTTTTTTGATCATGTGAACATCCCAATAAATTTCTATACCACTTACAAAAGATTAAAGGAATCTGCATGGTTTCCTAGGCCAAGTTCTACTGATAGGATATGAAATTCAATCAATGATCACAGCGAGTAAATAAAACAGAAATTTGAGATTACAAACCTTAAGGAGGTGAATGAGGTAGATGAGGCCCTCCCAGGCAGAAAAAGCAGCAGAAACAACAGTGATCTTCATCCATGGTGTTCAGAAAAACAAAGTTCTGTCAGACAAGATTGAATTGTCAGAGGATTTGACGGCAGTTTGCAAGGGCACATGAAAAGGAGGAGAGAACACATCTGTTCTGTTGAACAATGGTTTTCTGAAACTTCATCAAAGTGAAAGAGTAATCCAGTTAAGTTAATCAGAGTCTATCAGACACATAACTGAATGGAAGGTAAAACCAACACTCATTAAAATGAAGGTGAAGTTCTCGTACCTCAATGAAAGGTACTACAACCTTTGCCAGAAGGTGTATGAAAAAAATCTTTTAAAAACAAAATCACATTACTTTTATTTTTAAATTTTTAATTTTTAATTTTTGTGAGTGCATATTGATACTAGGTGTATATATTTATGGAATACATAAGATGTTTTGATACAGGCATGTGATGCAAAATAAACACATCATGAAGAATGGAGTATCCATCCTCTCAAACATTTATCCTTTGAGTTAGAAACAATCTAATGGCACACATTATTTAAAATGTACCATTAAGTTATTATTGACTATAGTCATCCTGTTGCACTATCAAATAATAGGTCTTATTCATTCTTTCTGTTTTTTGTACTCATTAACCATCCCTACCTCCTCCCACCAGCCCTCCACTACCCTTCACAGCTTCTGATAACCATTCTTCTACTCTCTATGTCCATAAGTTCAATTGTTTCAATTTTTATATCCTACAAATAAGCGACAACATGTGATATTTGTCTTTCTGTGTCTGGCTTATTTCACTTAACATAATGATCTCCATTTCCATCCATGTTGTTGCAAATGACTGGATTTCATCCTTTTTTATGGCTGAATAGTACTCCATTGTGTATATGTTCTATACTTTCTTTATCCAGTCATCTGCTGATGAGTACTTAGGTTGCTTCCAAATCTTAGCTTTCACAAACAGTGTGAAACAACCATAAGAGCGCAGAAAGCTCTTTGATACACTTACTTCCTTTCTTTTGGGAATTTATTATACCCAGCAGTCAGATTGCTGGGTCATATAGTAGCTCAGTTTTTAGTTTTTTGAGGAACCTCCAAACCGTTCTCCATAGAGGTTGTGCTAATTTACATTCCCACCAACAGTGTAGAAGGGTTCCCTTTTCTCCACATCCTCTCCAGCATTTGCCTGTCTTTTGGATATAAAGCCATTTTAACTGAGGTAAGATGACATCTCATTGGAATTTTGATTTGCATTGCTGAAAGCACTCTTGCGGAAAAGAAAACAAATGTATCTGAGTAAGATGTTAGCATTAAAGCAAAAAAAAAAAAAAAACTAATCAATTAAAAGAAAGAAATCTAGCTGCACCAAATATTTGTATCATTTCATCTTCTCAACATGTGAGGTTACAAAATAGAAAAGGAGGCTCAAAGAAGCAAAGTAGTTTAAGGAGCTTTCCATAGCTAGTAAGTTTCTACCCAGCATTTCAGTTCAGAATTAAAAGTATCCATAGCCCCAACTATTTCCACAATGTGCTGCTGCAGTTTGAGGCAATGATCTCTGTGCCGATGAAAGGAGAAAAGGACCAAGGTAATGCTCTGAAGAGCTAAGTAGGAGGCCTTCCTGTCCTGAATAGCAAGATAATGATTGAAGGATAAATAGGGAAGCTATTCTGCATGTGGGTGCTAATGAGATCACATTCATATATCAGCTTTTGCTGGCTCCACATCTCAGCAACTAAACTGCAGGAAACCTACTTCCTCCCAATTCAAGATTCTCTTTCCTTTAGAATTTCAGAGTCCCTACCATTCACACTGCACAGGAGACTAATGTCATCCTTTGGTGACACTGCAGCCATCCTGCAGGATGGTCCAGCTGCTCCTTCAGACCCCTCAGGGCTCTCCCTGCAGTGCTCCCACCCCCCCAGCTATTTGTTCAAAGCTGATGATTGACTACCTGAGGGGCGTCTCTGTTTCCCTCTGCTTTGGTTCCCTCTTCTGAGTTCTGGGCCTATATATACAAATGCCTTTCAGACTTCTCAACAGAATCTCCCAAAGACATCTCAAATACAGCACATCCAGTAAATAAATATATTATCTTCTCTAAAAATCTACTCTTCCCGTGAACTGAATTTTGATAAATAAATGACACCAGTACTCACAGTGACTCAAATCAAAACCCTGGAGTCACTTATCTCTGGCTTCTTCAACCCGACACCAAGCCCTATCAATTCTACCTTCCTCTCAACTCTATTTCTCTCCTCTCTATTTCCAGAAGGCTGAATGGGTAAGCCAAATGTTCTGGGGCTCTACCCACATTCGCACTCCCTTTGTCCAAGGCCTCAGCACCTTTCTCCTTTTTACTGCCTTCTATGCTTCTTACCAGGATCACCTTTCCATAACACATATTGCACCAAATTACCAGGTTCCCTATGGTACAAAGTTCTAATGACCTTGGGTTTGGCATTTAAAGTTCATTATGATGTGCCCCCTACTCATTTTTCCACCAAAATTGAATCATTGGTCCATTTATACTTTTTTAAATTTACTGACGCCAAAATAGCATGGAGGGATGATGCACATTAGGGCTGAAGATGCAGAGAGTGAATAATCAAGTTATGTTATCTAAGAATAATAAAGTTAGATCATAACTTTCGTATCTTAAAGGAGAAACATAGGATGGTTTACTATTTTGAATGAACAACAATATGAGGGGCAGAGAATACTGAGCATCAGCAACTCTTTAAGTTATATCTGTGCTCCTGTGTTCTGTGTTTCAACAAATGAAAGAATATTCAAAACGATCAGGTTTAGAAGGCAAATGACTTTATTGAGAATGTATGGATTGAATGTCCTCCACATGAGAGGCATACCTAAATGAATGTCCGTTGAGGCCTGAGATGTGTGACCCTAAGAAACAAAACTGATAGTTTAATAAAGAGTCAATGAAGGGCAAGAAAAAAGATGAAAATGCTAACACTGAAAGATAAAACACCCTGGTGCAGGATGTGGGAGAAATTTCTGCTAACTGCAAAGCATGTGGTTTGAGGCATTCATCTGCAAGAACGTGTGCTGAGGAAATAAAATGGTGGTTGGCCTATGCTTTTCTTATGAAGCAGAGCAACTCCAGCAGCCTGAGAGAAGGTAGAAAGACACACAGATTAATTTATCTTGCTCAGAGACACAGAGTCTAAGAATTGAATATGTGAGTGTTATCTTTTGAC